ATTCCTGAGCACATACATATTTCATCTAGTGCAAATTATTCTATAAAGTATGTAATAAAAATTTTTTCCCATATGACCCCTCAAAATAGTACCACAAAGTAGACATCAGCTACCACAAGAAGATTGTTCCCTCTTGGTTTCCTCTTTTTCTCTTCTTGGTATGGGGTCCTTCCAGCTTCTCACTCACAACTCTGAAAAAGGCAGAAGTAAGAGGAAAGATAAAAAATTCAATTGCAGCAGACATTGCCACAAAGACCTCTTCTTTCTTCCCCCCCTCAAATGCTGTGACCAAAAGGAACTGGTCATTACAAGGGCAGACAAGGCAGGACCCAGAATCCTTTAGACTTACCTGGTTTGGGAGTTGCTTTCTCCCATGCCTTTCAATGGGTCTCAATGTTATATAGGTACATGAGTTTGTGCGTGTGTAACCAAGAATTCTACAGGAATATGCGCCTGATTTGCTTAATAAGTTTCTGAATTGAGTGATTATATAAGCTACCGTAGGGCCACAAATCTTTTAAAATCACCCACCATGGCCAACAACATACCTTACACATAATGGATACAGAATACTTATTAATTTGTTTTGATTTCAGAGTGCTTTAGTTTGTTTCCTTCCACACAATAACCTTTCTCAACATCCCTTCCTTTTACCCTTCTTTTTTTCAGGCTGTTTCAGATGCTATCCAGTTACTTGTATCCTTTGTCATCTGGCTATAAAACTCTCTTTCTATCCATTCAAAAAAAAAAAAAAGAGTTTGGTTTATTAGGAAGTCATTTCCTGGCCCAGGCTTAGTTTAAGAAGCCATGATTGCCATTGTTAGTCTCAGTGTCTCTGGACCTCCAGAGTCCAATGCACTGATTGACATCTAGTGTTCCTCCATTGTGTCATGTGTACAAAACCTTCTGTGTGCCAGACCCTGGGCTGGGATGTGGAAATGGAAAGGTGCATTAAGCCTCTGTTTGACTTCAGGCACTTCAAGGCACAAAACTCAGTGATCATTTCCCACTTTTCTCCTTTGAGATAACTCTGAGGGAGAGTATATACCAAAAAGGGCTTGTGTCTTTATTCCATAAAGAGCTTGTACACATGAAATGAAAACATAAGCACCTTAATAAGATGAAAGTCATGAACAGATACATTTTTTTTTGGCCACACCGTGCAGCTTGTGGGATCCTAGTTCCGGCTTGCAGGATCCTAGTTCCCTGACCAGGAATGGAACCTGGGCCCCCTGCAGTGTAAGTGGAGAGTCCTAACCACTGGACTGCCAAGGAACTCCCTGAATAGATACATTTTAAAAGAAATACATTTATTTAAACTTATTTTAACAAAACAAAACAAAACCCTCAACCTTGCTAGGTATCAAAAAAAGGAAAATTAAAATGAGATACATATCAAAATAACAAAAACAATTTTTAGTGATTATAATCATTGCTGGCAAATTAGTAAAAAATTTCCCTTTGTCCATTTCCAGTGGCAATGAAAGTTGGTACTAGCTGTTTGAAAAGCAGTTTGTAAGTCTGTGTCAGGAATCTTAAATGTGTTCATAGCCTTTAACCAA